ATACCAGTAGCTCTTTGTTTTTCTGAAAATGAAAAACTGAGTGATACGTGAGCTCCACGTGAAAGGATCTAAGAAATCGAAGCGAGAGGAGCAGAGTAGCAAATGGTGCTTTCTAGGACTGGTCGGCGTCGGCTGCCCGGGGAAGGTGCAGACCGAGTTAACTAACTGGGAGACGATTTCTATGTCTTTGGTCTCCCAACACTGCTGAAAGGACCCGTGTCCTACCAAGAGTCCACTTCAAGGCCACCCAAGGGTGGAGGACACCACGGCCTCCAAAGCCCAATTTCTTCCGAGATTCCCCAACCTCCCCTTTGACCCTCTTCCAAATCTTGAAGAAGAAAAGGATGCGGATGTGACTCAAAGGAGAAGTTTGTGACATGAGAAATCACTGTTTGATATCAGGTACCTTATTCGTGTTTGCAGGTCAATTATTGAATACGAGGGAACAAAATGCGAGTGAGTTTTTACAATTCTCAGTGCTATCCCTCCTTAATCTGAAGTTTATAATCCCAGGCACCAAGGGTAAAGAGAAAGGTGACACGCCTTTGTGTTCGACCTTCGTAGACATGGAAGCGATCCCAGCAGCCACAGCAGAGTCCTAGAGGCAGGAGCCTCACAGACATCACTGTCAGGTTAGTTAATCTGAGGAGGAGCAGCGACTTTTTTTTTTTTTTTACTGTATTTCTTATTAACTATATTGTCTATTGATAAATATTTCTGGCCCTGACTATATGTTGTCTTCCTGGGTAGACAGTCATCAATACTTACGCATAGGAAATATCTTCAGAAAGTCAGGCAATTTCTCTGATTAGAAATATTCTTCCAGCGGTCAATGATCTCATTACTCATCTCTTCTGCAAAACTCATTAGAACAAAACTCATCAGTTCACCTTGCAATCTTAATGTTCAACAGAGGTGATAAAAAAGGTATCCTTGCAAAGAAATAATGGAGTTCTTCCTGAGTTGAAGGGGGAATAGGTTAATGTTTTTAATTTTCTCGGTTGCTCTTCTCCCAGAAATTTTTCTTACGACTCTTAGACTTGTGTTGTGAGTGAGCCCTAGCAGGCAGCCAGATACCTGAACAAGAACAAGAAGCGTTAGCGGAGAAGCACAGACTCTCCCAACGCCAAAATGGCTGTCCTTTTGCTTTTCAGGAGCATGTGCGCTCGTGATTACAATGTTTGATTGTGTGAATTTTCTCCTGGAAAAAACTGTTCTTAGTTTGCAAGATGGAATTTACTCTAACAATCATTCCTGGTATCCTACAGAGAGAGCGTGGCTTCCAAATGCTCTGATGGCCAAATGAAGTTACCAGCCACAGCGCTGGGTCCTCGGGGATGGTGGCAGAGGGGCTTTACAAACTGCGGTTTGGAGAGATGACCCCAGGGCCAATGGAAGGGAGAAGATGCAGTGGGCTTAGGGATGCAGCGGGTAGCAATGTGCCACCCGCTGGGGGCTTCTCAGGGGCACCCCTCAGTGGGGGAGAATTGGGGAGCTGGTCCCTCAAATAGGAAGAACATCCACATCTGGTTTTATGAAGCGTCAAGATGCACAGTGAGAGTCCCTTGACACTGCAGAACACCATCTCTCTCTCTCTCATACACACACACACACACACACACAAAGAGAATAACAAGCAAGATGGGACCAATAAAAGTCTTTTCAAGTGTTGTCTACGTCAGCCCTACAATTTTCTCTCTTTTCAGTAAATATAAAAAAGCTGAGGGGCGCCTGGGGGGGCTCAGTCAGTTGTGTCCGGCTTCGGCTCACGTCATGATCTCACAGTTTGTGAGTTCGAGCCTCATGTTGGGCTCTGTGCTGATAGCTCAGAGCCTGGAGCCTGCTTCGGATTCTGTGTCTCCTTCTCCCTCTGCCCCTCATGCTCTGTCTCTCTCTCAAAAATAAACAAACATTTAAAAAAAACTTTTTTTTAAAAAGCTCACTCATTCCTTGGCATCACAGGTGAATTCCTCATATATCAAGTTCTTAGCTTCACATCCTAAGGGCCAAGGTGAGCTAGCTTCTTGCAGTCAGGTTCATAGGATATTAGAGCTCTTGAAAAGTCATGGTTCACTATAGTCCTATGCCCTATACATCCTTTCTTCCTGTATATGGAGGAAATAACTTCCCTACAAGGGCATTTTGCACACTACTTAACTGTGAAATGGGATTACCACACCACCCTGTGGCCAAAATCTAAAAACGACTGAACACAAACAAAAACAGCCCCTATTTGTTCCATTCTTACTTGGAAATTAGTTTCTAGTAATAGTTTACTTTCTCATGACTACAAGAAACACTTTGAGAATAGTAGTCCCTGTTTTACATATGCCTAGAATAAAAACCATACAGGCTAAAAAAGAATAAGGCTTATGTAATTGAGTCTGTAGATATCAGTCATACATTTTGGGCTTAATTTTAAACTTTGGGCTCAGGGAACTAGCGAGTGGGAAATGGTGGGAAAGGAGGTCAGAATTTCAACGTAACTGACTAATGTCTGTTGATGGTGCCAGGCCAACCTTAAGTGTTGTTCTCACTTCCTTATGGTCATAAGGACGCTCTTCTCAACATCAATCAGACAATGGCCAGAAAGGCAGTCCTCCAAATGGTCACTGTGTGCTCTTGGTCACACACGCCTTTTGACAATCCTCACACCCACGTATCCCTCTTGCCCACATGTCAAGTGTACGCAGTATTGGTTCTTACGTGGCAAATTAAAGTTGGCTACAAGTTTCAAGCTATTTCACATGGAGCTGCAAAAGTATGTTAATAGTGTTTATTTTTACCTTCCAGCCCATCATAGTTTGGTGGGTGTTTTATTTTAAAAGTACAACTTTGGGGCGCCTGGGGGGCTCAGTCAGTTAAGCATCCAACTTGGGCTCAGGTCATGATCTTGCGGCGCTTGGGTTCGAGCCCCACATCAGGGCCTGTGCTGACCCCTCAGAGCCTGGAGGCTGCTTCAGATTCTGTGTCTCCCTCTCTCTCTGGCCCCTCCTGGGCTCGCACTCTGTGTCTCTCAAAAATAAAAAAATAAACATTAAAAAAAAACTTTAAGTACAACTTAAATCAGGGAAGGAAGACTTTACGTAGAAGTGTTTTGAAACCACATTCTTTATAAGGGATTTGGATTTCTGTCCTTGCAGAGCAGTTTTTATGAACTAGACCTAGATTTCTTCCACACCTAAACACAGAAGCTTGTGTTTAGAAGTTGAGAAGCTTGAAAATCTTAAGGGTGGAGATCATTTACCTCCAACCTTATAGGATAAAGTCCTGCAAAACGCCCTGAGCGGGAGAAATCTGGGATCACATCATCAGTGCTACTTGTGAGGGAAATGAAGGACTGCTGACTTTACAACCAAATTCTCTAAAGATCTTTTGAAAAAATGTCCACCCAAAATAAAATTAGAATAATACTTTAGCTGGGGCGCCTGGCTGACTGAGTTTGAACCCACATTTGGCATAGAGATTATTAAAATGAAATAAAAGTACACTGAAAAAACAATTTCATTAAAAATATTAAGAAAGTATACTTTCTTATTGCATATATTGGATGAGTAAGTGATTGGAGGACATTTACGGCCTATTCTCCGAAACGATTCGATGAGCTCTCTTCTTCTCTGGGGTCCCTGAGATACTTACCACGTTTACTTGCGGCCGCACCCCCAAGTGTGGCACTGTGTGCTACTGGGTTTGGCCCTCTATCCCTGTGTTCAAGGGTTAGGAGTTGGGAGTGAACTCTCAAAAGGTGAAATAATTACTTTTAACCTACCGATGCAGCCAATTGGATAATTCTGAAACTTTCCTCTCTAAAAACAGTCTCTACTTTTCCTGTGAGAGCTGTAAGCCCTCTTACGTATGATGAAAGTCCCACTGTCCTGACCGGTCTTGGGAAAGGGGTTCCGAAGGTCCTTGATCTTTCTTAATAGATTTTATGGCAAGCCTTTGCCACCGAGAAAGCAGGAAGGGTCAGCCAGCAGCACGACAGGAGCCGAGAAAATCCGGCCAGCGTGCTTGTTCTCGCCGCGCCTGCTCACACAGGCATGATCTGATCTGGAAACCCGGCCTCAGGATGTGCCGCTGGGGTCTTCACTGGTCCGCAAAGGATGCAGGCTTCGTTTAGGTGGATTGAGTGAACTTCATTAAAGTGGGTCAGCCAACGTATCTACCTTAATGCCAGCTCTTTGAACATAAACTAAGAATATTTCAGTTAAAAAAAAAAAAAAAAGACTTCATGGCAAAAGTGCTGTCAGTTTTAACATTTCTATTCTCAACTCCCAAGTCCCGCTTTTCTTGTTAACCCCCGGGGGTGACTACGGACAGACTGAAACTAAAAACGATCACTGCTGCTAAAAAGGTAGAACGACATGAAGGGGATCTGCCGCTGGAGGGTCACGAATCACACACGAGGGGCTGAAGAACCGGAAGGACGTGCCCGCAGATCCGAATGTTTCTGTAAAATACTCAGAACAGTGCTTGGGTACAGTGGCCGTGACGGCGGGTCTGGGACACCAAACTGATAAATACATACCTTTTCAAATAGCAGATTTTAAACTGGTTTTGAAAAGTTAACCTTTTCTGCCATTTGTTTTCTACAAATTCAGTAAATAGGAGATGAATGAACACACAAAATTTTAAACCTGGACAGAATCTAAGGACCACATAAACACCTAACTGTGATAATCTGCACTTTACATTTCTAAAGGTTAGGAATGATTACTATTTTAGCTAAAATAATATTTGAGGGGCAAAGTTCACCAACCTGGGTATATCAGATTACAGCACAATGAAATCTTTAGAGAAAGAACGACTTTTTTTATTGTCATTAAAGTTCACATAAAACACATACTCAAATTATGATGAAGCCAGATAGGAATAAAATACACCTAACTCTAGCCATGTAAAATACAATAATAAAGTCAAGGACTTGAGAAAAAAACTTACTGGAAAACATCAAAAAAACCTTTGGACAAAACAAAACAGAACAAAACAAAAAAAACAACAAAAAAAAAACCCACCAACGACCTTATGAACACTTGCTTTATTTTAGGAACTCATGATGAGGAGCCAGACCTAGTTCTTCACGACGTGAAAAGTGTCCAGCCTCGAGCATCTCTGATGTGCGTCTCCCTGTCTGGCTCGCGGGTGTCAGGCTGCCGCATGCTCGGCTGGGGGGCTGGCCGAGACCGGCTCCTCCGCTCTGAACTTGACCGTGGGCGTGGAATAGTCCCAGGGCCGGCGGTTCTCCGTGAATCCGAACAGCTTCCGCAGCGCCACTCGAGCCGCCTCATCTTCCGCGGCCAGCACCGTCTCCCCAGGTCCCTCCGCGATCAGCTTTTTGTCACTAGACAACAGATCAAGCAAGAGTCGTCTGAAATCACCCGCGCATCATAAAACACAGGCCACAAGTCTGTTCTGGATTCTAAATCTTATTTTGGCAAGAATATCTACCAGAAGTAACACAAGAGCTTTGGATGTAGTATCTTTTGAATATCAGGGGTATTTTTGTTTTGTTTTGTTTTTTGCGAATTCATTATATACAGTAGTTAGACAAGAAATTCTACATTTCCATGGAAATATAAACTCGGTAGGGTCCAATGTTTTTTTCTTATCTAAAAAAATTCTTTTAATGTTTATTTATTTGAGATAGAGAGAGAGCAAGCGCGAGCGAGCAAGTGAGCGAGCGGGAATGGGGCAGAGAGATAGGGAAACACAGAATCTGAAACAGGCTCCAGGCTCTGAGCTGTCAGCACAGAGCCCGACACAGGGCCTGAACTCACAAAACACGAGATCATGACCTAAGCTGAGGTTGGACATTTAACTGACTGAGCCACCCAGGCACCCCAGGTCCAATAGTTTTCAAATCAAAACCCAAGGTGCATTTAGGTAAGTATGGGTTTGTTCCATTGTTGATGAAATAATATATAAAAATCTTCTTACAAAAACTCAAAAAATGATTAAAACTATTCTTGGAGGGCACCTGGGTGACTCAGTCATTAAGCATCTGACTTCAGCTTAGGTCCTGATTTCACAGTTCATGAGTTCGAGTCCCACATCAGGTGAGCTCAAGTCCTGCTTTGGGTGAACACAAGCCCCATTCTGGGTAAGCCCTGCTTTTCTCTCTCTCTCTCTCTCTCTCCGCCCCTGGCTCACTTGTGCCCTCTTTCTCAAAAACAAAAAAAGACTATTCATGGAAAATATAACTACATTATTTTTAATTTATCTTGAACCTGTAATATAAGGAAAACTTTTATGGAAAAAAATTGTGCTTTTCTGATTTTTCATCTAAACTTTAAAACAAATGAGATATTAGTTCTCTCTATATATTTTTTTAAAGTTTTATTTATTTTGAGAGAGAGTGTGCACATGTTGAGGGGTAGAGAGAGGGAGGGCGAGAGAATCCCAACCACAGGGGCTTGATCTCACAAACCATGAGATCATGACCTGAGCCAAAAACAAGAGTCAGGACATTCAACTGACTGAGCTACACAGGCACCCCAGTTCTAGACTTTAAATTAAGAGCTCTAGATCTTTAAAATTTGCTAAGATTAAAAAATTTTATATATGATAATCTACTTTGATATATTCCCAAAGGATACCTGAGGTACCACAGTAAACACTTTAGGCTACTGGTGTTCTATTAAAACCAAATTAAAACAAAAATGCGTATTCTGCTTTACTTGATATCTATATTACCGGAACTAGCAATCTCTTCTCCAAAAAATGTAAAAGATATTCTTGCAAGGGAGCAAAGGATGGGCACTAAACAAATGTGGTATGGGTGTGCTACTTCTCAATTATATTTAACTACTACCTGGAAATTTCCTGACCCCAGCTGGATGTATCCAACTAAAAGAAGCATCTCTGAAAATTTCATGAATAGCAATTCCACTTAGTAGCTTGGATTCAATAGAAGTTGACCTGAAAGCTAAGGAAGGCTCAAATCAAAGAAAAACAAAAAACCTGTGAAGGTAAAATAATGTGGGGGCACCTGGGTGGCTCAGTCAGTTAAGCATCTGACTTCAGCTCAGGTCATGATCTCACAGTTCATGAGTTCGAGCCCCGCATCGAGCTTTGTGCTAACAGCTCAGAGCCTGGAGCTTGCTTCGGATTTTGGGTCTCCCTCTCTGTCTCTCTCAAAAATAAACAAACATTTAAAAAAAATTTTAAAAAGAAAAAAAAAAGAAAGAAAAACAATGTGGAAGGAATTAGATAAGAAACACCTGCTGTGGTAATAATTTGATATGAAACAAAATTTAACTATGTAAGTTAAACGTCACAGTAATAGTTACACACGTACATATTTGTACAAAATAAAGGATAGAGAAAATCATCTAAGTGAATTTCAACCACACAATGTTTATTTATCATGTTTCTAGTCCAATAAAGGTGATAATATATCACTGTTCATTTTTTTCAAAACCATTAGGTAAAATCTAGGTTTCTTCCTAGATAATAATCATTAATAATTCTACTACCTGATGACAACCACTGTTAGTAATAGGGCAGACTCCTTTTTTTTGCTTAAATGTAAGAGATCATCCTTCAAACTTTCCGTGTATCATTAAAACCCTTTAAGCACCTCACCTGTCCGCGCTGTACCAGATTCCAACATGTGCATTTGCCATTTCCCTCTTGCTGGACACCAAAGGTATTACTAATTTTTTGTCTAACGTAAAAACTGCAATTAGTTCAACAACTGCTTACTGACCACCACGTCCAAGGAGCTGCGGTAGGCTCAGGGGATAGAGGGTAAACTACAAATGAACGTCTCTGTTTACAGCCTCGAGAGACACACGCAAAGTGAGAACACCAAATCAAAGAACGTGAAGCATTTAAAGACTTCGGCGTTTTGTCAGAATTACTGACAGAAATACTGCACCACTCTTTTCTTCTGCCAGGAGTATATGAGCTGCTGAGAAAGGATGTGTTTTAAGACTTTTCAGCCTGATAAGAAGAACTATCTCTTCACTGTGCTGTGCACTTCAAGTTGAAACTTTTTATATTTTCATGTTTTCCTTTGTGATGTCTTCCATCGCCTTTACCCTAGAAAACCCTTCATCATATAAAGATCAGAAAAACATTTACCTAGATTTTAATCGAGGTCGCTTACATATTCAGTCAGTGTGAGGCGAGCCAACGGTTTACTAACACATGTTCAATGTGGGCTGATTTCTATAATTTGAAGAACAACTAAACCCTTCCTTTTCCAGTCCTAGGCTCAGCTGAAGCTGTCACAAGTGTGGATTAGGGTTCCATCTGTAATAACAGTTTTGAATAAGAACTTTTTTTTTTCCACAGAAATATGGAGAATACCATGAAATTCTTACTTCCGAATATACAACATATACTTGGTTAGCAAAAGCTACTATTAGCAAACCAGATTCCTTGGCTTCCCCTCAGAATAACCAACAAGAAAGGAAGCAGTAAATAGATAATCGTGGGAGTGAGATTTTAAAAATGTTTTACAATTAGAGGTTACATTAAGGAATTGTGAAGTCAGTTTTTAAGGCTTCCACTCAATGTAATGAAGTTAAGATTAAAGTTTTACTAACCAGTATAAGCCAACAAAAAACACAGGCAAAGCTGTAGTGCTTCCAGACTGCCTGGTGAGTCTAGATTCAGGAGCTGAAATATTCCTTCTCTTCAGTTCTTCTACCAGGAGCCCCATAGGATTTATTATCTTCCAAATCTCAAAGAGTTCTTTTCCAGTCATCTGGGTAATTAAGAAGTCCTGTGCATAAAAAATAGAATTTATACATTTAAATTAGTATGATGAAAATACAGACCATAATTCAAAGTACACTTTTAAGAGAATTTAAAAACAATGCAAATTGAAAAAAGGACAAAATGTACTATTCATTTTCATTTCTGTATAGATTTTCATGTTAAGTTTTATTACAAAAATCATAGTTGTTGCAGATATGATACTCTATATAAAAAACCAAAAAGACTCCACCAAAAAATTGCTAGAACTGATACACGAATTCAGTAGTCACAGGATACAAAATCAACATATAGAAATGTTACATTTCTATACAATAATAATGAAGCAGCAGAAAGAGAAATCAAGGAATCGATTCCATTTAAGATTATACCAAAAACCGTAAGGTATCTAGGAATAAACCTAACCAAAGAGGTAAAAGATCTGCACTCTAAAAACCACAGAACACTTATGACAGAAACTGAAGATGACACCAAAAAATGGAAAAACATTCCATGCTCATGGGTTGGAAGACAGGTATTGTTAAAACGTCTACACTACCCAAAGCAACGTACACGTTTAATGCAATCCCTATTGAAATACCACAGCATTTTTCACAGAGCTAGAACAATCTGAAAATTTGTATGGAACCACAAAAGACCTCAAAAAGCAAAGCAATTTTGAAAAAGAAAAAGCTGGAGGCATCACAATTCCAGACTTCAAGCTATATTACAAAGCTGTAGTCATCAACACAATATGATACTGACACAAAAACAGACACACATGAATGGAATAGGATAGAAAACCCAGAAATAGACCCATAACAGTATGGTCAACTAATCTTCAACAAAGCAGGAAAGAATATCCATTGGAAAAAAGAAAGTCTCTTTAACAAAAAGTGATGGAAAAACTGGACAACGACATGCAAAAGAATAAAACTGGACCACTGTCTTATACCATATGCAAAAGTTAAGTTTAAAATGGATGAAAGACTTAAATGTGAGATGGGAAACAATCAAAACCGTAGAGGAGATCACAGGCAAAAACCTCTTTGACCTTGGCCATAGAGACTTCTTCCTACATACATCTCTGGAGGCGAGGGAAACAAAAGTAAAAATGAACTACTGGGACGTCACCAAGATAAAAAAAAAAAAAAAAAAGAAAACTTCTGGGGCGCCTGGGTAACTCAGTTAAGTGTCCGAGTTCAGCTCAGGTCATGATCTCTTCCGTGAGCTTAAGCCCCCACGTAGGGGTTCTGTGCTGACAGCTCTGAGCCTGGAGCCTGTTTTGTATTCTAGGTCTCACTCTGCCTCTGCCCCTCTCCCCTCTTGTACTCTGTCTTCTCTCTCTCAAAAATAAATATTTAAAAAAAATTTTTTTAAAGATAAAAAGATTCTGCACAGCGAAGGAAACAATCAACAAACCTAAAAGGCAACCTTCAGAATGAGAGAAACTATTTGCAAATGACATACCTGATAAAGGGTTAGTATCCAAAATCTATTAAAAAACTTCTCAAATAATAACCAAAAAACAAATAAACCAGTTAAAAAATGGGAAGGCATGAACAGTCATTTTTCCAAAGAAGATATATACTGATGGCTAACAGATACACGAAAAGATGCTCAACATCACTCATCATCAGGGAAATATAAATCAAAACCACAATGAGATACCACCTCACACAGGCCAGAATGCCTAAAATTAACAATACAAGAAACAACAAATGCCTAAAATTAACAACACAAGAAACAACAAATGCCTAAAATTAACAACATAAGATGTTGGTGAGAATACAAGGAAAGGGGAACCCTCTTAAACTTAAAATGCAAACTGGTGGCACTTCTCTGGAAAACAGTGTGGAGGTTCCTTAAAAATGAAAATATTACTACCCTATGGCCCAGGAACTGCACTACTGGGGATTTACCCAAAGAATCAAAAAATGCTGATTTGAAGGGGTACACCTCGATGTTTATAGCAGCACTATCAACAATAGCCAAACTATGGAGAAAGCCCAAATGTCCACGGACTGATGAATGGATGAAGAAGATGTGGTGTATGGCTGCAATGTAGTATTACTCAGACATCAAAAAGAATGAAATCTTGCCATCTGCAACAACACGGATGGAGCTAGAGTGTATTATACTAAGGGAAATAAGTCAGAAAAAAAAAAAAAACCAAATACTACATGATTTCGCTTATATGTGGAATTATAAAAAAATAGAAGAACATAAGGGAATAAAGAGGCAAACCAGAAAACACTCTTGACTAGAGAGAACAAACGGGACAGTTGCTAGAAGGGGGGTGGGGACGATGGGTTAGATGAGGGATGGGTATTAAAGAATGCACTCGTCAGGATGAGCGCTGGGTGTTATATGTAAGTAATAAATCACTAAATTCTACTCCTGAAACTACTCTTATACCATGTTAACTAAACAGAATTTAAATAAAAGCCTGAATAAAAAAAATAATAGTTGAAGGTGAAATCTTATCTTAGAAATACATCAATAAGAAAAAGATTTTTAAAACAAATGTATTAATGAATAAAGAGTAGTAACTTCCAGAAGAAACTCGTATAAGAAAGTACTATGGGGGCCGGGCACCTGGGTGGCTATTACCTAAGTGATGCTTCAGCTCAGGTCATGATCTCAGGGGGCTGAGATCAAGCTCTGGGCTCCACACTAGGTGTGAAACCTTCTTAAGATTCTCACCTGGGTGGCTCAGTCAGTTAAATGTCTGATTTCAGCTCAGGTCATGATCTCGCAATTTGTGGGTTCAAGCCCCGCACTGAGCTCAGAGCCTGGAGCCTGCTTTGGACTCTGTGCCTCCCTCTCTTTCTGCCTTTCCCCTGTTCATGCTCAGTCTCTCTGTGTCTCTCAAAAATAAATAAACTTAAAAAGAAAAAAAAAAGATTCTCTCCCTCTTCCCCTGCCCCCTCCCTTGCTCACACTCTAGGTTTATCCCTTTCTCAAAAAAAAAAGGGCCTCTAGATGATAGTACTTCGCTGTTGAAACTCATGATTTAAAAAAAAAATCATTTAAATAATTTCACATTAAGTATCTTTTCAAACTATTTAAGACCTGATAATATTTTATAAGCTAAGAAAATGGAAAAGCTTTTGAACATTCAAAGAGAATTAATTTTGCCAATTAAAAAAAATTATCAATATTGACAGAAAATATGGGAACATAAATTTTCATGAAAACATACTGCGACTAACTTGTGTTAACACAGTACAGGGCACCTGGGTAGCTTAGTGGGTTGAGAATCCAGGTCTTGGTTTCAGCTCAGGTCATGTCACAGTTCATGGGTTCAAGACCCGCATAAGACTGCACTGACAGTGCAAAGCCTGCTTGAGATTCTCTCTTTCTCTCTCTGCCCCTCCCCTGCTCACGCTCTCTCTCAAAAACAAATAAACTTTAAAAAAAAATTAAAAAAAAAACCCAGTACATAGTAAAGGATGGGTAAATGGGGACAGAAGGGGAGAAATTTAAAAAACACCTTAGTTCATAAAATAGTCAATTTCATTACACTTGCCTGAGCACCAGAACTCTATTTCAGCCTTAGTAAAAAACATATCACCTGAAATTAATATAACACTATACATTAATCACACTAGAGTTTAAAAACATGTTTTAAATTTATAAGTCCTCAGTGGGGGACTGAAATTTCAACGTATAGAGAGAGTTGCCTTACGAGACACCTATGTTATTTACACCTATGAGGGAATCACTGGGATCATCTGCAATATAACAGTAAGGTAAGGAAAGACAATTTGAATGCCTAAGATATTAGCAGAAATATAAAAAGAAACCTAGATTTTTCTGGTGATTATCTATGCCTCCTATTTTTTCCCTATAGGTTCCTGGTCTTAGTACTTTATTATCAGAGCTTTCGGTGGGAGTGTAGGTTGAATATTGCAATCTCACCTCCCCACAACAGGGAGACAGTATGAAGAAATGTTTCTAAAATGTACATATGATCATGGAAACCTATTAAAACTCCTCCAGCTTTCCACAGGTCAGTCTTTACAAGCCCATCCACTGTGTACTCTTCAATCCGCTAAGAACACTGCTCACATTTAAAAAGTCACCCCCTGGAGGGCTAGTTGGAATGGATTCCTAGGCCCGACTCTTATTAGAGCTTCTGAATCAGCAGACTGAGCTAGTGGTGCCTCTGAATCAGTGTTTCTAAGTTCTCAGCGATTCTAATGCTACTGATGCCAAACTACCTTCTGAGGAGCACAGGTTTAAAAAATCACCTCTATCACTTCCCCAGGTACAAGATGATCTGGCCACACAAAATACCAGTAGTTCCCCAAACACAAGCTTATCCTCAAGGTTTCTTCCTAGGATGTCCTTCTTAGGGGAGCATCACTTTCATACTTTCCCTAACCCTGTTATAGCTGACTGCTGCCTCCCAGTTCCCTCCACACCTTTATAATACATCTTTGAGAACACCCAGCTCCCTCTTGAACTGCCTGACGAGCTGTGACTAGGACCCTGGAGGCAAGAATCGCATCCCCAGTTGCTCAGGCTCCAGTGCTCAGCAAAGTGCTCAGCACACAGTAAACAACAGATCCTAGGTGGAAAATGAATGAAATAAGACACAGGTATGAGACTCATTTAACTCTAATAGGACTCATGATTAGAACTGTCAACAGAGTCTCTAAGATACGGAGAGCACGGATTTACAAAATGATCTCAGGACTACCTTGCGGAAATTAAAAAAAAAAGTAAAGGGACCAAAATTTGTTTAGACAGTTCTAAGACTCCACAGAAGCTAAGGGGACAAGAGAATGGAAATCATGGGGGGGCTTAGTGAGGATTTCTTTAGAAAAGCTATTTTATTGGGAGGGGCGAGGGCAAATGAGAGCCTTTCCTTTTCACCTCAAGCCACGAGGGCCTCAAAAAGTCAACTGGCTTCCAAATCTGGGACGAGAAATACAGTCGACTGGCAGCCAATACACATTCCCTGCTTATAGCAAACAGGCTGGCAGAAGCTGCCAGCAGAAGCCTGCGCCTGATGTCAAAGGTCTAACTATCCTTGAGACCTAATGTGCAACTCACAGAAGGGATAGCATTTCTTAGGGAATCCTATCCAGGAAACCGGAAGCTGACGTGGGGAAAACAGTCAATACTCAGGTCAAGGAAGATGGTTGGAAGGTCCCAGCAGGGAGGGGCGCCTGGGTGGCTCAGTCAGTTAAGTGTCCGAATTTGGCTCAGGTCATGATCTCACGGTTCGTGGGTTTGAGCCCCGCGTCGGGCTCTGTGCTGACAGCTCAGAGCCTGGAGCCTGTCTTCGGATTCTGTGTCTCCCTCCTCTCTCTCTGACCCTCCCCGGATCACACTGTCTCTATCTCTCTCTCAAAAATAAAAAAAATTAAAAAATAAGAAAATAAAAAAGGAAGGTCCCAGCAGGGAATACAATGCCTAGTGGAGTCTGTTTTAAACATCAACCAGGCTCAGAAAGCACTAGATCAGATGAAAGCCATCACACCAAGTAAGAATCTCTTGTTCTCCTTCTCCGAGCTCCCACTCCGGACAAGCAGTTAATATACCTGCTTCCCAAAGGCAAACAGGTGGCCCACCTATTCCAGGCTGTAGTTGGGGAAGGAGAAGACAGATACGAACAAAGCCTGAATGTTGGCCAATACAGTATTCTTCTCCATCAAAATTATGAAACTCAATATCAAAACTAAATGAATAGATTCCAACAGTAAGAGATGCTGGTTTTAAAGGACCTGACATTCAAATGTCTGAATCAAGACTGTGTTTTGGGGCACCTGGGTGGCTCAGTCGGTTGAGCGTCCGGCTTTGGCTCAGCTCATGATCCCGTGGTTCCTGGGTTCAATCCTCACGTCGGGCTCTGTGCTGACAGCTAGCTCAGAGCCTGAAGCCTGTTTCAGATTCTTATCTCCCTCTCTCTGACCCTTCCCTGCTCACATTGTCTCTCTCTCTCTCTCAGAAATAAGTAAAACATTAAAAAAAAAAAAACTGTGTTTTGACTTAAAAGTAATCATGTGGATTTACCATTATATAAAGGTCACCAAACCTCATGCATTCATCCAATGTAAGGGATAAAAATCCTCCCAGCTAAATTCTCAAAGAACAGGGGGAGTCAAGGAATCCCAATTATGTTAAGTATTTTCATCAGCTAAGTTACTGGCTACCAAGGAATTAGGTATACATCACAGGGACTCAGAAATCCAAGATTTTATGACTTGTAAAAACAGAACAGCAGCCGGGACCTCGGCATGAAGCTCCCTGACGGCACCAGGCCTCTGAATAGTTAGCTTCATTCATTCACTGAACACCTGCTGAGCAGGCACCATGGAGCACCGCCCTTGGACCTGACTATGGAGACCAGGCTTGCAGTCCTAGGAACTCACCACCCAGCATTTAATATTCACCTCTGATGACGTCCTCAATAATGAGACACGACCATAAAACAGCTTTAGGGCTTTCTCAGAATTTGGTAGGGAGAAAAATTCACAGAGAACTTTCCAAGATCATATAACAAAGGAATGAATTACAAAAAATTGTTTTCAGGGCTGCCTGGGTGGCTCAGTTAGGTAAGCACCGGACTTCAGCTCAGGTCATGATCTTACAGTTTGTGGGTTCAAGCCCCGCGTCAGGCTCTGTGCTGACAGCTCAGAACCTGGAGCCTGCTTCAGATTCTGTGTCTCCCTCTCTCTCTGCCTCTCCCCTACGTGCATGTGCCAGCTCGTTCGTTTGCTCTCTCAAAAATAAATGTTAAAAAAATATTTTTATTTACTTAAAAAAAAATTTTTTTTTTAATGTTTTATTTATTTCTAGGAGATAGAGAGAGACAGCGTGAGCAGGGGAGGGTCAAAGAGAGAGGGAGTCACAGACTGAAACAGACTCCAGGCTGTGAGCTGGCAGTTAGCACAGAGCCCGACGCGGGGCTCGAACCCACGAACCACGAGATCATGACCTAAGCGAAAGTCGGACGCTTAACCGACTAAGCCACCCAGGCGCCCCAAAAAAACATTTTTAAAGACCTTTATTTCTTCTGTCCACCTCAGGCAGGTCCCAGCCTCTGCGAGTAAGCACTACCTACCCTGATGAAAAGAGCGGTCCTCTCGGGGCCACTGCTCTGCAGCAAGGCTCCAATCACTGCGAAGAACGTCTGCCGTAAGACAGGTGGGGGAACTGGAAACTCTGCACTCAGTGTCAACTGCTCCACCGCCAGGTTTCTGGCCACATGACACACCACTTCCTCACCAGTGAGAAAGTCAACAAGACTTTTAATGCCTTCGGGGGGCAAGTCTGGGAATGCATCCTTAAGAAACTGTGTGAGGCAAGTTTTTGAAAAAGATGTCCCTTGTTCAGAGAGTTCCTGATTATCTTTAAGATTCAGAAGAACAGCTTCTTTCTCTATTCCAAGGTTTTGGCGCTTGGCCTCCTCGCTTTTAATATAGCAGCTATTAACAAATGCAGTTTTGAGAAGATCTAAGGAAAAGGTTTCCTGTAACCGATGTCCAAATGCTTGTATTTCAGCATGGTAATCCCAGTTGGGCTTCTCTGAACTGAAAACACAGAAGAGAAGACAGTAAGAGATGGTAAAGAGAACAAAAAAATGTTACAGTGATGCAAGACTGTTCACTGGGATGCAATCTTATTGACTACGTAAAGGAAATTTAAAAAGACGGAGTTTCATTGTTAACACCAGGCTTTGATTTTCTAAAAGTTAAAACTTAAGTCAGATGATTACTTGGAGTTCTTTGCTACATTCACTGAACTTGTTTTCCCTTGAAGCCAACTGCCCCGTTAAAGATGTTCTTCTATATCAGAGACTGAGCCATTACCCTACCTTTGGATTCCTAATTTCTCCTGTAACCATGGAATTATGCTTTATACCTAGGTATGAAATACACATTATAATTTTACAGGTTCAAGATATAAACAATAAACAATAAGTACATTATATTTATCTTTTATTTATCCCGTTTTTAAAACACCCATTTAGATTAGCAACTAAATAATCTAGTATCATAGTAAGTAGGTTAAAAGTTCATTATCATTTCCAGGAATGACTAAAAGGTCTTTCTAAAGAGACACTGAAAGCCAAATAAAACTCTTTTAAGTAAAATAGGATAGGAGGGGTGCCTGGGTGGCTCAGTCAGTTAAACGTCTGAAGCTTGCCTGGGATTCTCTCTCTCCTCTCTCTCTCTGCCCCTATCCGACTTGCTCTCTTCTCTCTCTCTCTCAAAATTAATAAGTAAACTTAAAAAAATTTTTTTTAAAAAGGAAGCTCTGAGGGTCTTGGCTGTAAGTCATAAAATGTATGTAAACCTATCTAATGCTTAGTTTCATCCAACTATAAAAGCTTAAAATGACTAACCTCACAATAATCAAAGAACTGTGAATTCAGAAGAGATAACTATTTTTTGCCTATCAGGAAAGGAACTCAATATTGTTTAGAAAGAGTGGAGGAATATGAACACATATTCCTGATATATGTACAAATTGGTTCAACTTTGGGAGGGGAAATATTAAAGTAGCCATGAAATTTCATACTTAATCCCAAAGGAGTACTCACTTCAAAGCGAGTCACTGTTGTACCCGCTACAATATGGAACTCAAAGACCTACAAACCTAAGTCAAAAAAGAGTGAGGCGCATCGATCTTATAACTGCCATGACTACACGTCAAAGACACGTTACTAAAGACAAAAAGATGCAAGACCTCACGTACAGTAGATCTCATTTGGAGCTACCTGTGACTCTACCAGGAGGACACTGGCCTTCTCTCCCAAGCTACTGCCAGACAACGACTGCAACAAGATTAAGATAAAACAAGATAAAGTAGGGCAAACACACACACACACACACACACACACACACACACAAACCCTAAGCTCAACTGTTTTCCTTTTATTCTGACAAGTGGTATTGTAGTTGCATACACTTAATTTCGCTCTTGCAATGCTGTGGAATGCTTTCATCTCTCTTATCTGTGCCCCAGAATTCTCAGCCCTTACAACACAGGGTCTACAACCCCCACGCCCGCATAAAGGTTACACTCGCGAGGCCTCATTTCTCACAACTCTCAGTTGACAGGATCGAAGTCAGAGTTCCGAAGAGCCCCGCGGCAGAAATCCATCCCCTGGGCCTCGGCGCACGCGGCCACGTTCCACCGCGGTCTCTACCGCAAGCGTCCTGGGCTCACGCCGGGCACGCTTTGGCGAGGGGCAACCCTCCCCGCCGCCGCCCGGTCCTCGACCCGCCACTCCGAACCCCCTCCGAGGCGCCTCCTACCGGCGCACGGGCGGCGGCGGGCACCGGAGCAGGCGCCACCGCTCTAATTCCTTCTGGAAGCGGAAGGCGGCGCGGAATCCCTTCTTCACGCCCCGGACAGGCGGGACGAGGATGGGGGCGGCCGGTGCCAGGAGGCAGCGGGGCCCCCGCAAGAGCAGTCTCCCCAGGCCGGATGCCATTGCGGGGGAAAAGCAATGGAGGCCGGAAGGAAAAAAGTCGGACCGGTGAGGCGGTAACACCGTCCCCCCAGATTTGGGCGAGAGGAGCGAAGCCGGGGCGGGGCTAGTGCGCAGGGGGGCGGGGCTAGTGCGCAGGGGGGCGGGGCGGCTGCCGTTGAGCTTTACTGCGCATGTGCGAGCTCGAGTTCCTGCCCACCTAGTTTACTCTGGGGCGAGCACGGATTGAGGAGCATCCGGAACCAGAGTTTAGTGGAAGAAGGTGCTTCACCCTGGCAGTTGCTTTCTCGTTCCTTCCTTTCTCATTAACGCAAAAGCCTGGTTCACTTTCAGTTTAAAGAAAACACATAAAGTCTCAGAAAAATCCATTCCTTGTCAATGTATATTTAGTCTTAAGAGTAACAGACCACCAATCCAGCCACTGTTTACCCAACGTGCCTCCAAAACGTGTTTCCCTTCAGGAGCCCTCCACTAAGGGATATTGACTTAACCAAAATTTAAATTTCTAACAGTAGAAACTTTAAAGTATCAAAAAAAAGGGGGGGACTGGAAAAAAATGCATCACAATGGGAACAATGGAATTGTCTTTCTCCCCTTTTTCTACTCTTTAGCAGTACTGTTATATTGCTTTCCTACCAAACTGTTCATATAAATGTTAATCTAATATTAATTCACAAATGAAGACTTTTCTGAATTCTCAATTTTGAGTTGCCTGTTGAACATCTAGATCCCCAAAGGGCAGGCACCTCTTTCTGTGGTCTCTCTATTTGTTAATGGCTTCAGTGTCCCCTACTCCCCCAGTAACCCAGATTGGGCTCTGATATTTTCAATTATTTATATTTCCACAAACACCCTATTTTGTCCAGCTGTCAAGGCCTTTTTCAATTTATTTCCACAGCAGCCACCTGATGGCTATCTTTACCTCCTTGCCAGGCCTTGCACATTCCTCTCTTCCCGGACACAGTTCACCTTCACTCATCTCCCTGTAACACAGCCTTGGGCATGCCACTACTTAGCTCAAGAATCTCTAATGTTAGGCTGTTTTGACAAAGACTCTCCCCTTGACCAAACTATAATCAGGATCCCCTAAGCCCTCTTCTCAACTAGGCTTCAGCCTTAGGCTTCAGTGTCTGTCTTTGTTAGGGCAGCATAGCCCACTTTTGACAAGAATCCGAAGTCAGTTCAGAAAGAATTCCACACCCTCAATATCTTGATCATCCTTGATATCTAATCAAATCCATCACATGCCACTGTCCCCAGGTAATACCTGATCACCCTGGCCTGCCTTCTGTCAGGAAGATTCATGTCAAGAATCCACCCCCCCCTCCATCTTGACCTTGATGTTTCCACTTAATGTTCACTGACACTTCCCAGGCCCCTTGGGTATAAATTCCCACTGGTCCATTGCGATAGCTGAGTTCTATATAGAGGTCCCTTTCTCCTCATTGCAATAGTTTCTGAATAAAATCTGTTTTTAACTATTGTCTAGTTCTTGTTTTCCTTTGACAGATCATACAACTCAGTTTGGGTCTCTTAACCTTTCAAGAGGGAAAATCCAAATGGTTCATCTTAGCCTATAAAAACATTCTCACCTGGAAATGGGGGGTTGGCACATATCATAAAACAAGCTGATTGATTTCTGGGTGAAGCAAATTTTCTAAGAAGGGATGAGAGAAGATCATGATTGGTCTTTGTGTTTCAATAATTTACACTGCATAGAAACAAAATCCATTGAACATTAATCAAACACATGGATTAGAAGAAAGCACAGGGAACTACTATTTCTGTAATAGTCCATTTACTGGGAGAAATAATCTGGTAATCTAGTTGGAGCAAATAATGGCATGTTGATATGACATGTCTCTGTATTGAGTTTCTCAGTAAGTACAACGAGAACATAATGTACAAACCAAAAATGTAGGTATGGTCTCAAGAAGTTTTTCCCACTAAATCATGGAGTTGAGGTATTAACCAGTTTTTAAAATTGATTCATGAATTGATTTATTCAATAAACATATGCTAAGGGGACTACTTGGTTCTAGGACCCAGGCTCAAAAAACAGACCCCGCCCAAGGCTGCCTGGTACACTTCATTTATGTCCCTTCAAATCCCAAAGTGTTCAGGGACACCTAGGTGGCTCAGTCAGATAAGCGTCCGACTTTGGCTGAGGTCATGATCTCACGGTTCATGGGTTCGAGCCCCATGTCAGGCTCTGTGCTGACAGCTAGCTTAGAGCCTGGAGCCTGTTTTGGATTCTTTGTCTCCCTCTCTCTCTCACCCTTCCCTGCTCACGCTACCCCTCTGTCTCTCAGAAATAAATAAAACATTAAAAATTTTTTAAAAATCCCAATGTGTTCAGTCCAGACCTTTCTGCTACTCAGTTGTGTGTATACAAAACTCCTCCACATAATTGTCTGCTAACACCTCCAAAGGGACATTTCAAGCTTCACATATCCAAAACTGAACTCTCCATCTTCTTGCCTGAACGTCTTCCCCAGATCGGGAAAAGGCAACTCCTTTTCTGCAGCTGATCATCCCACACATCCACGTGTCATTCCTGACTCCTCTTTCTCTCATAGCCCATGTCCAACAAAGCTCATTGGCTCCACCCTCCAGAAATGTCTAGACTCCGCTGTCTTCTCATGACCTGCACTCTGTTCTAAGCCATCACCATCTCTTGACTGCCTTTTATTAGCCTTTGGACTGACACCCTTGTCTTTTAAGACCAAAGGCAGATTAAGATAGCTTTCTACAATCAAAATCCTCCCATCTCACTTAAAAGAAAAGCCAAACTCCTTACCATGGCCTCAGGGGTCGACATAATCTGTCTGGTGACCCCTTCTTCCTCATCTCTCTGCACTCCTCACTCACTCTGCTCCAGCCACACTGGCTGCCTTGCCAACCCTAGAAATTTCCAGTCACGCTCTCACCTCCGGGCCTTAGCACTTGCTGTTCCCTTTTGCTGGAGAGGACTTCTTCCATATTTCTACATAGTTTACTCTCTTCTCTCCTTCTTGGCACAGATGTCACCTTCTCCGGGAAGCCTTCCCTCAGGCTGCATTCTCTGGAAGTAGATGCTGAGACAGAGATTGGTGTTCAGGATGTTTACTGGGAATCCACATCTATGAAGAGAAGCATATGAAACAGGATTAGGTAGAAGTCAGCTGCAGTACAGGCCTGAAAAATTTTCATCCAACCCACGAGAGAGCTCTAGAGCCAGTTTTGCCCATCAGTGTGTCCTGCACCAGACTGAAATAGCCAGGCCTTTATATTCCTCTCATTTAGTTACAGAATTTGGGCTGCCCCAAGAAGGACATGGCCAAGCCATGGTGGCTCTCTGCAGCTGAGGTAGACCTGGAAGGAGCTGAAAGCTAGAGAGTGTCTGCTGACCGCCCTCCTTCTATGGATCTGTGTAGTATATCTTGGAATGTTCCACACCATCCTGTTTAAAATTGCCATACCTATCACCATTCACAGTTTAATTTTTTTTTTTAAAAAAATTTTTTTTTTAATGTTTTATTTATTTCTAGGAGAGAGAGAGACAGTGTGAGCAGGGGAGGGTCAGAGAGAGAGGGAGTCACAGACTGAAACAGGCTCCAGGCTCTGAGCTGGCAGTCAGCACAGAGCCCGACGCGGGGCCCGAACCCACGAACCGCGAGATCATGACCTAAGCGAAAGTCGGACGCTTAACCGACTAAGCCACCCAGGCGCCCCCACAGTTTAATTTTTTTTATAGCACTTAACATCTTCTGATATACTATGTAATTTAATTATTTATTTTGTTTATTATCTGGCTCTTTCATTGGAATAGAAGTTCTAATGGTAGAGCAATCTTTGTGTCTTTGGAGCACAGCTACATTTAGAATGGTGCCTGGCTCATAGCACACACTCAATAAATGTTTGTTGTTTGAAAAAAATTGTTCAGTAGACGGTCCAATCATCACACTGTAAAATCCTTGCAAGAAGCATGTCTTATTACTCTTGTCTGAATATGGTGCTTATAGGTATACAATACATGCTTGTTGAATAAGTAAATCCATGAATAAATGTTATTAACTTCATATAAGGAAGTACCAGTATAACATTCTCCAATAGAAATACCATGTGAGGCACATATATAATTTAAAATCTATTAGCTGATGAAAAATAATGAGAAATAGGTAACATTAATGTTTTAAATATGTAACTCAATATATCTAAATTTTACCAGTTCAACATGTAATCAACATGAAATTTATTAATGAAATACCTTATTTTCTTTGTTTTGTTTTGTACTAAGTCTTTAAAATTCGGTGTGTATTTTGAACTCACCATAACTCAATTTGGACTAGCCACATTGTCAGTGCTGGATAGCCATGTGTACGGTACATCTCTATGGCAAATCTGCAATTCACGAGTCAGAATAATATGGGGGAGGAGGGGAGTGTGGGTTGGAGAGGAAAGGTCTCTGGAGTCCATGATTTTCTGGGTCCCCATCATAACTCTGACTTAGGAGCCAAAAGCCACCAGGAATGCATCTGTAATTGATCACATTGGGTTGGTTGCTAACTGTCAGGAAAAGGCATATCGTGGGAATTGGTGATAGAAAGAGCTTATTGCAGGATTTAGGTTTGTATTAGGTGATTTTAGGAGGATTTAAGGAAGAAGGGCTATCCGCTGGACGGGACTGGATGCTGTCAGGAAATGGGGGCAATTCTATGATTGGAGGTTTTGATAAAACTTGTCTAGAGGGAGGAAGACTAGGCAGAGGCTAACACTGTTAACTAACTGGTAAAGAAACAGGAGTCACTCTTATTTGCCAGCATACAGAGATATTTGTTCATTTGTGTGGTTTGAACAATTTCATGTTTTGGCTGTGTTTATCTATGATTGTGGAGTGGTATTGTTCGGTGCTTATGTTTGGCAGGAAGCAGCTGTGAGCACCCGGCCAGCTCCCGCAGCACTGATCTGGCTCACAGCACCACGCCAGCTCCTGGAGTTTTCTCTAACAGCTGTGCGACCTTAAGCAAGTGATTTAACTTCTCCGTGGTCCACTTTTCTCATCGCTACGAAGAGACTACAAGAGCAATTATCTCTCCATCTCTTAAAGTCGTTATCAACACTAAATAAGATAATCCGTGTCAGGAAATTGGGATAGTGCCTGGTATATAGGCACCACTCGATGAGTGTCACCGACTGTCCTCCAAGGATTCTAAAAATTGCACTGCAATTTTTCACACTTGCAACAGCTTTGAAATCTTCCAAACAGGGCTTCTAAGAGTAAACACAACGTAATATTATTATTTCCAGAGGCTCTGGTTTAGGAGACAATTCCTCGTCCCCTCCAACGGCTCAATCCACTCCTGGGTGAATGCCTTTACTTTTCAACCTTCCTCACTTTCCCACTTGTTCGGAGACGCCCTCCGCGGCGCTCTCCCGGCCTCGGAGTTTTCGGCTGCGCGGCTTCCCCAGGCAATACGGGTCTGGGCGGCAGCACTCGGGAGCTTACGGCGGCGCGGCGCCCACGCGGCCCCGGGAGCCGGAGCGGAACCGGCGCGTCCCCGCCCGCCCGCCCGGCCGTCAGCTGATGGGTCTCCCGCCCGGGAGGCCGCTGCCGCCGCTGCCGCCGCCGTGCGAACATGGCGGCCGAGATCCACTCCAGGCCGCAGAGCAGCCGCCCGGTGCTGCTGAGCAAGATCGAGGGGCACCAGGACGCCGTCACGGCCGCGCTTCTCATCCCCAAGGAGGACGGCGTCATCACGGCCAGCGAGGACAGGTCGGGCCGGCGGGTCGGGCGCCGCGGGGGCGGCCGGACTCCCGCCGGCGACTGGGTGTGGGGGCCGGGGTCGGCGGCCTCGTCCCTCTCCGGGAGGGGGGCGTCCTCGGCCCCCGGGACCTCTCCGCGCCCCTAGGGTCTGGAACCCTCCCTGTACCCCTCTAGCTCGGGACCACGGTCTCACCGCCCCCTCCAGCGGGGGACTTCCTCGCACCGTCCCATTGCGCCCTTCCCGCCGGGGACCCCTGTCCCAGTGCACCCCTTCAGTCCGTGACACCCGCACCCCCTCCCACCGCGCCATTCTAGCCCAGGATCCACGCCCCTTCCACTCGGGACCCCGGACCCACCGCGCCCCTCCAGCGGAGTACCCCGCTTCCCATTGCGCCCCACCGGTGACCCCCAACGCGCCTGTCTAGCCCGGGACCCCAGTCCCTGCGCCTCCTTTGTGGGGGTTTGCTTGCGCCTCGAAAGCCTCGCGACCTCTGGATGGTTTCTTGGCCCATCGCGGTCAGTTCCAAGCCTCTGAGCCAGGAGCACTGGCGGCAGTTGACCTGGGTCCCGGTGCAGACCCGGTGCGAAGGATCCCCATTTCTCAGCAGACCTCCAAGACCTCTCATTCTCTCCCTTCTGCTTCGCCCTGGGGTTGACAGCTCTTCACACACTACCAGCTTGCTAGATCAGTTACTTTTTTTTATGCCGCTGAGACCATCTGAACTCTTATTTACTAGGGTTTTTTTCCCTTTATTAAAAGAGACTTATTTTTTAAAAAGTTAGGTGCTTTTATTTTAAAGCAACATTTATTTCCCCCTATTAACGGAAAGCCGGTATCACCTGCCATAAAGAATTAAATTAATAACTATAGTATGTTATTCTGTGTGCACTTAAAGTCATCTCGTTCTTGTACTAACACAACTTGAGTTGAAGACTGCTCTCCCCACGTTTGGGAAACATTGATCTGATGCGATTTTGTCATTTTACCCAAGAGGAAATTGAGGCCCTAGGAAAGCCCCAGAGATAACTGCTGAAGCCAGAAATGCAACCCAGGACTCTTTTTGGTCAGCCCAGGACTGTGTGATTGCATTAGAGAGAGATAGTTTGTTTTAAAACTTCAGTGTTTTTAAAAACCCTAAAAGTTTAGAAGGTTTGTGGCTTTACGGTGGGAATTTGGAGGAAATGACTGGATGTTTGCTGAGTGAAATTGTTTCCTTGTGCGCTTAAATGGTGCTATTCCAGAAGTCAGAAGGCCTTCTGGAAGGTGGAAGATACTGCTCTTCTCTTAGAGCTGACAGCTTTTTGTAGTCGTGTCTTTTGAAGTAAGTAACATTTGAGGGACCTTTCCTGGGCACAGAAAATCTGTAGCCTCCCCCTGGTTGCCTCGTTGACCTTTGTATTTTGTGTCTCCAGTCTGTTTATTATGAGCAGGCAGAAGCCTCTCCTGGCTCCTACATGTAGCTGACCTCAAAGGAGATGGGGAGTGATTAGAAAGACCTGGGTGTTGATATGCAGAAGCAGCGGGGAATGGAAGAGAGGGCTGCATGAGCTGCAGGGAGACGAAGGAAATGTGAAAAAAAGGCACAAGAATGATATTTACATGGTATCGACTTAGATGCAGACAACATTCATAAAACGTAGCTATCTTATTCACTAAAATATCTTATCCATGACTCATGCATGTTGGGTAAATTGCTGAGTATTTGAGATTACTGGCCAGGAGCAGTGCTGATAAATGTTTTATGGAAAGTGATTACTTGGCTGCTCTGGGACCAAAATGTTCTGGGGGAGCCTTAGATCAGCTCTTTTTTTTTTTTAAACTCGGGCACAGCAAGGCCTTTGCCGATGACTGGACCAGGTGAAGGTTAGAGCCTTGTGTTTCTAATTTGCGTTGCAGGCCCTGGAGCTTTCCTGATGGTAGGACATTCCTTAGCAGGTGCCTTTATGAGATTTGTGAAAGCACATGGCTGTGGGTTTTTGTTGTTGTTGGATGTGGGGGTGTGTCTTTACATTGTCATAAATATGTGTTGTACTCTTCAAGCATTCATACGTTCATATATTTGGAAATACTGTATGTATTAAGTGCCAGGCCCTGGGGAATTCAACAGGGATCAAAAGTCACAGCACCTGCTCTCCTATCTTCTGATTCATTGATTTTTATGGCCCTTGTCCTGATGGAACGAGCATATTGAGGAGCCAGAACACCTACCGCCCTTATTTATCAAACAAGCATTTATTAGACACTTACTGTGTGCTGGACCTGTGAGATAGAAAGACCAGTAATGCCAAAATCTCTGCTTCCAGAGGGTTGGACAGACGGGGGGAGAGATGCCCTGTGCTCTCGGCTTCCGGGGTGTTGGGGAGACAGAGGAAAGCGTGTCCCTGAGGGCCAAGGTTCAAGGAAAGGCTCCTAGAGGAGCTGTCACTGGATAGAGGAGTGGGCTGTGTGAAGGGAGGAGGGCGCACATCCCTGTTGCCGGCAGATGGAAAGACTAGGAGGGAACGAAGGGCCACCTTCACTTCTAGGTGACGCAGCAAAGGGAGGGTGAGTGGTCATGGTAGGAGAGAGTACTGAAGGCTGGAAGGTCCTAGTGTCCCGTTTCGGAAGGGCCTTCCTTGTATGCCACTGTTAGGAATTTGACTTTAGTTTGCAGTTAGCGAGGAGCCGTCAGAGATTTCAAGGCAAGCGGCCTGATCAGGATTTGTACATCGGAAATAACAGCTAACTAACCTTTTAAAAGTCCCTTCTCTCTGGGGGGGGAGGGGGAGGGGGAGAGGGAGAGACACCACAAGAACTGACAGAGGGAGAGGGGTGGGGGATGGGCGAGACAGACTGGGGGTTGTATGTAAGTGATGAATCTCTAAATTCTACTCCTGAGGCCAATGTTGTGCTGTATGTTAACGAACTAAAATTTGAATTAAAAATAAAGCTCCTCTCTGTTGGTAGAGAATTGAACCCATGCATATGGCGGCATCCAGTCCTCACATCTCCCCAAGAGGGGGGTAATACAGTCCCTTCCATCATCAGTAGCTCCAAAATTCAGTATATGTTCAAAGTCAAAAGTGGTTTCTGTTTGTTTGTTTGTTTGTAAGCTGGGCCTGTAAACTCACTGGCGCTACCACTTGCCTTGAATAGATGAGACTGTTTGTGATCTCCATCTAGCCCATGCAGCGTGAGTGTTCATTTGTTTTCCTGGGGAAACAGCAGTGTGTGTCCTTTGCAGGTGCTGTCCCAGGCCCCGCTGGGAGCCTTCTAGAACACATGGTGATGCGCCCCATTGCAGTGGGCCTATGACAGTTTAGAAAACTGGTTCTCGATGAGTGGTGACTGCCTCATAGAGCAGTATCTGGAGACATTTTAGTTGTCTCGGCTGTACGAGGGTATGGCTGGCATCTGGCGGGTAGAGGCCAGCAATGCTGTGCCTCATCTCTCGTGCACGAGGCAGTCCGGGGTGTACCGGCTCCAGATGTCCACGGTGCCGTGGCTGAGGTACCCTGGTTTAGGCTTAATATAGTTTCTTCTCTGGTTCTCAAACTTGAGCATGTATCAGAATCAAATGGTGATCGCATTAAAACACAGGTAGCCCGGCCCCACCCCAGGGGCTCCGATTCAGCGAGGCTGTGGTGGGGCCCGAGAATTTGCATTTCTTCGAGGTTCCCAGTGATGTTTTTTGCTGGTGGCCCAGGAACCCCACTTTGAGAACCACTGTTCTGCAAGTTACTGGCCGTGCTTCCTTGTGTAGGCCCACCGGGAGGGAACGCCTTTTATACTTTGTCCTCTTTTGTGTCCGTTTCTGGGATCTATTTTTGCCTGGCGTCATTTGTTACATGTGAGAGTTTATTTCCCATTAAAGCGGAACTGTGTCTGAGGAAGCTAACGCAAACAGTCCCCTCTGACTATTAGACCAGTGTGGGATGCTGAGCTCAATTCCATCATACTGGAGTCACTGGTGTGGTTCCGGCAGAGACCTTCGGGGTTAACAGAAAATGGCCCTAATCTTTTGTATGCGTTCGTGTAGATGTTGTTAATCATTACCCTAAATTCTTCAGTTCCCAGTGGCCTGAACTTTGGAACTGGCAGTTTTTGAGCCTGCAAAGTAGAAGAATGATATGTATGTAAAGTTGAAAAAGAAAAATTCTTCAGTGACTCAAGTATGATCGTCTCTCTAGTCAGGAAACTGTATAAATAAAGGCAGTCATCCGAGCGGTACGTTGAAGGATGTGAGCTACAGCCATCGTTTTCCTGCGAGTGGAAACAGAACACGAGACTGCTTTCAGACTAGAGCTGAAATATGGTGAGACAGCGGAAACCCATTCCCTGGACACATGGGCCTTTTGAACTTTTTTAGCTGTGGACTGCATCAAAAATTTGGACTCCGTTGAAGGATGGAATAAAATAAAAAACAAACAAAAACACCTTCACAATGAAGCTTAAGAAATAAGTTAGGGTCCTGTGGTCTTTAATTTTGTAAGACAGTTGGTAAAGGAATGTGTTTCTGCCATTGTGTCAGGGGCCTGGAGGCCACGATTGAGGACTGATGTCTGCGAGAAGAAATTTTGCTTGGCCTGAGTCAAACAAAGCTCGTGTGTTTTGAAATATTTTAGGATGTTGCGCTTAGGCTGGTAAACAATAAAAATGCCAGAAACCCAACTTTAAGCATATTTCTGGTGGCATCTTCTTTTCTTGTTATCATCATACCAGCTGTTTAATACTCTTCTTTCCTTTTAGGCATTTCTAAGCCCGTTAAGATGGTCTGAGGGAAAAATTGTATCTTTACTAACTGTTCGCACAGAAACCATTTTAAATAAACAGCTTGATTTGGGCATCGCCGGAAGTCTTTAGCTTACACAGATAACCAGGGTGTTAACTACTGTGTTTTTGTTGTCATGCAGTGCCGAAAAGTAGACTCTTTGATTTGTGTTAGAAAATAAAAGCGAAGAGTGAGACGAGAGGAAGCATTTACTCCTCTCCTGTTAGAGTGGCCCTTCGTTGTGACGTTCGTGTTCTT